AAAAAGCAAAACATGTAACAGAAATTTTATTTTGTGGTTTTTATTAAAGCTTTTAACATTTGGCAAAAATGACCAGATTATAATCAATAACAATCTAGTTTTTTTAGAGAAGAATTATATATTCACAATGTGTAGTATTATTACAAAAAGGAAATTTTCTGTACACTATATTTAACAATATTTAAAGAAAAACATGTGTAGAAAATTTCCCATTGACAATTTTCTATATATTTTTAATACTAAAATAGTGTCATACTATATTTTAGGATTGGTTTAGGCTTCTGCTTCTAAATTATTTAGCGTTTCTGTGACTATTTTATATTTAATAGGTAGGCTGTGTCTTTCTTTTGAGCCTTAGTGTAATTGGTTGTGTTATGAAATTTTTGGCTAGATAATTGGGGTGGTCTGCAGTCTATGTTCATATCGTTGGCAGTTGTCATGTTGAGGTCTTGTTTGAGACGTAGGATGAGGCATTTGTCATTATTCGAGAGACGTTCGATTGGAATCTTTCAAGAATGTCGATACTGGATCTAGCTGTACTTCTCCATAGCTATACTTTATTGGCGACGTGCAAGTACTTGGATGTGATACGAGAAACGATCGTGCGCGAGTAGCGGAGAAATCGTGCATTTTTTACTGCACATTTCATAGATTTCATAAAATCAAATTGTCAATTGTCATATTTCATATTTGTTTATTTATTTACACCTTCTGTCACTGAAGAAAATGGGATTTAGGAAATGCTGTGTTATAAATTGTAAAAATACAACAAAAAATTTTTAATTTAAGTTTTATTCGTTTCCAACTTCGAAGCACAAATTACTATAAAGAGAAAAGTGGATTTATATCATAAAAAAGCATAAGTAACATAACCTAAATTATGCATTATTCTTGCGCCCGATTTTAAAGTCAGTTTGAAATAAATAAAAGTTCACTTTTAAGTGTAAATTTTAGTTTCATAACACTCACTTAGAATTCATTTTAACCCAAAAATCAAGTTTAATGTTTAAATTTTATTTTTTTGAAGTTTACAAAAATGCATCAAGTTCAAGCTTTTCTGAAGATGCGTTAAGATATATTTGCGGTCCAAAAGATTACAGGAAAAGAAGTAATTGTTCAAACCAATATGATAATATCATGGGCTTAACCTGCTAATTTATGCATTAGCATTATTTATAGTAATTTATTTTTCTTAATTCTTTCATTCTTTTTTGACATTTGCCACTACTAAAGCTTTTCCCTTTGACTCAGTTCTTGGTTGAAAAGTTATTTGGTGATTTACTTTCTTAAATCCAGTTTTTATTTAATAACATATTAATAATTGTACTTATAATAAACTGTAATTTAATAATATATTTATTTGTATTTACACTACATACAACGTTTACCTTTTAATAACATACCGACATAACCTCAATCTTACTTTTTCTTCTTATTCTTTTTTGGGGCTACCTCCTTGACAGTTATCCGGTAACCTCGATCTAACATGAAAGCGCAGTAAATTTTGCTGATTTACGACACCAGGTGTCGCTGTTCCGAACTTGCACGGTCACAATAGCTCCAAATGAGTTTTAGAACACCTTTATATGGTAAAATTTTGTCGTGGACTGACAGTTTTAACTTTTGACCTATTAATCCATATAGTTTGCTGAGTTTAAGATCCAACTGTTTTCGCTTGGTTAAGATGTGTTTTTTTATGTGAGCCTACAATTCAAATACATTTCCAATTATTTTATGTCGTATTTCTGTGGCAGAGGTTGACCGTTTAATGATAACGAAGGACAGTTTTCCTTGTAGTTTGTAAATGTTACCTGTGGTTAATTTTGTCTAGTTGGCTCGTTAAGGCCCATTTTGAAATAAGTTTGTATTATATTAAGGTTTGCCTGTACTCTGTGTGATGCTACGGCTGAGTCTTTATAGGAAGAGATTACTGTTGCGTAGTCTGCATAAGTTGTTGCTGTGACTTCTGGAGATATAGATACGTTCGCAGTAAATATCACGTACAGCACTGGTCAGAGGACCCTTTGAGGGACTCCCATAATTGGGTAAAGTGTGGTATACTGATCATTATGTTTTACAAGGTGATGGTGTTCTTGCGGTGCCTTATGCTATCAAAGTAATTGTTGAGAAGATATTTGTTGATTTTAAATAAAAGGCCATTATGGCAGACTTTTTTTAATGCCTGGGAGATGTCTAAAATTATACCGGAGTAACAAATTCTGTTTTCGAGTGATTGGCGTATTTGATGGTAAGCTCGATTAATTTCTTCATTGGTAGCGTGCTGTGACCTAAAGCCAAACTGGCAATGAGATATTATTTGTTTGTCAATTAAAATTGTCTTTATTTTGGATATTATCAGTTTTAGTAGGACTTTATTTCCTCATGGGGTTTTCCGGGTTTTGAAATTTAAATAATTTGGAATAATTTCCAAACTAGAGGAAAGTATCCTCTTCTTAATACAGCTTCATACAGTTGTGTAAGATAAAGTAAACTTCGTTTAGTTTAAATTTTTTTTAGGAGACGTTTAAGTTGATAGAGAAATTTTAGATACATTTGGATTTCATTATCCATATTAATACGTTTATCAGCATTAAATGGTTGGAAATTTGTTTTAAAATGTTCAGCAAAAATTTCGGCTTTCTCTTTATTGCTTTTTGTCCATACGCCATCTTCAATGTGGATTGGAGGTTGAGGAATCTAAGGTCATTGTATTTGTTTGGTTGCTTTCCAGAGTAAATACTCGGTAGCTTCTGTAAGTGAAAGATGTCTGAGACAAGAATATACCGTTGTTCTTGTGGTTATTTAATAATGTTTTAACTGTGCTGTAACTGTATTCAGATTGGTATATTCTTGTGGTGCTCTCATCAGCTGCCATCTACGTCTTAACATTCGTTTCCTAATTTTTTTTTCATTACATATAATTACGTACAGCATTCGTAGTTGTTGGTAGCTTTCTATAGCTTTCTTATCGCTACCTTGGTTGGAAACGAGTAAGATGCCGAGGACTGGGGCCCTTTTTTAAAGGTCTATTCGTGCTAAAAGGAGTTTTAACACTAAAAAATCACGCTTATCAGGCGAGTTGGTAAGTTGGTTTGGTAAATTGGTAGGATATGGTAGGTATTGGGTAGGAATATTTTTAAGTAAAATAGTAGTATTTTGTATTCTGAACACACAAATATAATTTTCTCTATTATATATGACTTATCCTTTATACTTTACGTATACCTTTCAGAAAACTATAAACAATACGATGCTACCAAATCTTCAACATATCAAGTCAATGGCACAGCTTACCTAATGGGTTACGGAACTGGACAATTGCTTGGTTTCTTATCTGAAGACAATGTAGAAGTGAGTAAAAAATCTAGTTAAGTTTAATTTGTATATAAAAAATAGAATCGTATTATACAATCATTATGGTCGTTATTATAGTAAAACCTCACTACATATATATATATATATATATATATATATATATATATATATATATATATATATAACTATATATATATATATTATATATGTATACTACAATCTACAGAAACTTTTATTTAACTCTATCAACACCATATAAATATATTTGTTTAACTATCCATAACGAGATACTTCACCTCCATCGTATTAACTATGCTGATCTGATCTTAATGGACCAGTCTCGATATCTATCATAATATTTTTCATTAGCCTATTTCGAGATATTCCGCGGGTTAACAGCTGTAATGTTGAATATCAATTGGTAATAATTCCTGTGGTTTGATCTCCGCAGTTATACTTATTCGATGTGTTTAGGTTATTTGTCTAAAAATCCATGCCCTCTTGCACGATTCCTTCTCGGCCAAGATCTCACTTATTGTCATTTCTCAAGTCTCTTCTGGATGCTCTGCTTCTTGTCGATGTTAGCAGTGGAATGAATTCTCATGGACTATACGGACACTACGATTCTCCACCGTGAGATTAATAAATCTAAAAGAGAGTTCATTGAAATGTCTTATATTTTCCTTAACGATTTTTCCGTCAATGTTAAGAGTGACATTAAGAATCTAAGCGATATATACCACTTCTTACTTAAATCAGATACCAAGAACAATACAACATCACAGATAACTAACTTGACTGATATATCTATTAACAACTAAACTACTTTAATAATAATTTTCATTAACTAAAAAAGATAACATTCCCTTGCTTTTCTTAAATACATCTCAATAAGATATTATTATAATAATACATGAACAATATACTAATTAAAAAGGAATTTCAATTAAGAAAATTCTAAAATATTATCTCCCCAAACTGGGATCTAACTTCATCGGTTTTACCAATGAACCTTATCGACATAAATATTTAAAAAAACTACTTGTAATTGTCAGCGCTTGCGTTCAGAGAAAACAGAACCTCACATTCAAACTTTATAACAATCAAAAATTTAGTTATTGCCGACAATTCAAAGAATTACTTTCTTTTAAATGTAGTTACATTGGGTTTTTCGATTAATCTTGGGTAAACCTTTGCGTTTTAAGTTCAAAGCTACCATACATTTCCAACGTTAAAAAAAATTTTTGCACGTAGTAACAAAAAAACACCACTATATTGTTACTAGCTAAGTTTTTTAACATCCTAACTCGACATTTCTAAAATTTACGGTAAGACAAATGTTTTTTATTAGATAATATATGGTAGCTAATTATAATTTAGTCTCTTTCATCCCTGAAGGAGCCTTTAAAATTTAATCTCTTTGGCGAAATTAATTCTCTTTGGCGAAAAGGTTCGGCGAAACAATTGATACACATTAGAGTTTTTCTTGCAGATTTCCCCAATATTTAAGAGTTTACTATATATATATATATATATATATATATATATATTATATATATATATATATATATTATATATTATATATATATATATTATATATATATATATATATATATATATATATATATATATACATATATATATATATATATATATATATATATATATATATTATATATATATAATATATATATTATATATATATATATATATATATATATATATATATATATATATATATATATATATATATATATATATATATATATATATATATATATAAGGATCACTCAGACGAGTGGTGGGTTCTTATATCGGTCTCAAGGTGGAGAAATAAAAGACAAAGTTGATACGCTACTTTATCTATTTTGAAGACGTTTCGCTTTCGAGTTTTGAAAGCATCATCAGTTCATCTAAAAAGTACAATATGAGAACCACACAATCATGGAAACGATGTTAATTGTTACCTTAAAAAGACTGTAGCAGTCAAAGTTATTTACAATAATGTGAATGAAACTCAAGTAAATGGACATAATACGCTGATATTGCATAAACAATCAAGTAACTAACAACATATAGGAACTTATAAAAATTAGCACAGCAAATGACCATGTGGTCTAAAGTAAATGAAATATTATTTAATCTTAATTAGTGAAAAAGAACCAAGAAAATCATAGACAACTTCCAACTATATAGGTATACTCTAGGACGCAAATTTTTGATATTACCAGAGAATTTAATCCCAGTGTCATTTGTTAAATTTAAGTAAGTCTTGTCTCCCTATGTCTCTCATTTGTGAAATATCATCTATTCTCTGTTCCACATTTCTTATTTGATTACTATTTATTGGGATATTTTGTTGCATATCGTCTAATTTTTCTTCTGTCTTTCTCCTGTCTTCGTTAATTTTAACTTCTAAGTTACATTTCTGCAACTCTATTTTTTGTTCTATATCTATCTTATTATCTTGAATAATCCTATTTACTTCTGTTCTCTCATTTTTTATCCTTTTCTTGTAGTCATGCCGTATATTTTTTATTTCATTTGCTACTTTTTTCTCGGCAGCTTCAAGTTTTTTATCTATTTGTTTTTCTATTTGTTTTACAATTTTATTATTATTATCTTCTATTTTCTTTTCTAATTTTTTATAATTCTCTTTCATTTTTTTCGAATTCTCTTCCATTTTTTTTGAATTCTCTTCCAATTTCTGTTCCATTTTTTTCATGTCCTCTTTGACTTCTTTAGAATTCTCTTCCATGTCTTGTTCATCTGCATCATTAATGACATCAAAGCTGCCATATTGACATTTTCTCCTCTTTCTTGATTCATTTCTACTGAATCTTGTGGAACTTCAACTAAACTCTCCTCTTGTACAGCTTGTGTTTCTAATTCCACATCTTTTTCATTCTTGTTGTTTCTTGTACCTTTTTTTCCTTGAGACATATTAAGACTTTACTTGTTCAATATATTAATTGAAAATATATTGAATTATCTTTAATTGTTTTTTCTTTCAAATAAAATTAATTTAATTATATGAGAGCACGTATCTTTCCAAACTAATTCTTTTAAATAGAGAGAGCCCCGCGTTGGGCGACAAAATTGTTATGATGTGTTGTTGTTGAATGAGCAATGAGTAAATTTGAATGATATATGTAAGTATAGGGTTTTTATCGCGGTTCTCAAAGAATTAGTTTGTAAGTACTTTTTTAAATTATCTTTATTATAACTATTATGAAACAAACCTATCTATCTAATATAAGCAATATCAATTTAAAACAATCTATCTAAAATTTGAAATTCTTACAATTATTAAATTATTAACAAAATTTGGTACCTTCTTTCACTGAACGCCTAAAGTTTTTCCAAAATTAAAGTTATTATCACCACTCGATATTTTCTTACTCAGCCTTGGTTATCCAACAATTTTAATATGCTTCTTCTTAATTATCTCCACTCACCATATAAATAGATAAATTTATATCCTTGTAATTTCCATATAATGTACTTTCAAATATACTGGATCTTGTGGTTGTATTATTGAATGCTTACTTCAATGAATTAACTTCATACTATCACTATATTACTGTAGTAATAATTAATCTCCAACTGTAGTTGACTTATTTAACTGTACTTCACTGTACTTATTTTACTGTACTTCATTTAACTTAATCAATGCCTTCTTCTAGCTTCAAATTAATTCACTTAATAATCTTGTAACTGATTTAATTTCTTCTAACTAACTCCACTAACTGATAAATAATCTTCTTGTAACTAATCATAATCTGTAACTAACTGACTAATAATAATCTGTACTTGACTTCCTCTAACTGATAACTCTAACTGATAACTGACTGACTGATAACTGAACTCTAACTGAACTCCTTCTCCAAATTACATGGCTTTTTATATATCCTTCCTCTTTCCAGAATAATCTAGCAATAAATAATGTTCGAATCATTCTATTTGTTCTATCTGAATATTCTGGAATCGTTTTTTGTCTGTGATGTATTATGCATATAGTCCCATTGACATTTCGTAGAACTTTCTATTTACAATTTACTTGACTTTAGGCTCTCCAGATCAGAACTACACTATTATATGTAACTTAAACATTTATATGAAATATATTTTTTACTATTCTACATCCACAATTATATTCTAAATTAACATTCCAAAAATAAATAACTTTTTGACTTTGACACTACAGTGTATGTTTGGTTGCATATGCACATGGCTGACTTAAACATATCTAATATTAAATAAAATAAAAAAAACTTCTTAAACTTAATTCTTATGCTAAATTCTTAAAAATACCCTCATATAATTATTTTTTAATAATATTATCTAGTATATAACCTACAAATTATGTCTTCAATCACTATCTAAATAAATATATTAATTAACATTGTATATCTGGTTGTACATATTTCTATGTTAATTTATTGTATTTCTGTTCTCATTAATAAAATATATATATATATATATATATATATATATATATATATATATATATATATATATATTGAAAACGATTTCTGGAGTGGAAATCAAAATATCAAACAACAATTATAAAATTTATTTTTCGTTACAGTTAGCCCCATTCGCTCCAGGCCATTTTTTGAGGTAGGGAGCTGTATACCAGCAAAAGTTTTTTAATGAAATACATTTTACGATAGTTATGATGTATAATAGAACAATAAGAGATATTCACCTATGGGGACCAAAAAATTGATTGAAGCAATTTAAATTTATATGACAATTTATAGTGTTTACCAGAATATGCACATAATGATATTTGGGTGTACCAGTATATCCACCCTTGGATATTAATTGTTTTTTTAACCTATTCTCTATTCTTCCATTGTTGGGTATAGGTCTCCCCCAGTTCTCTCCATCTTTCCCTATCTTGAGCTGTTCTCTGCCATGTGGGACCTCCTTGTTCCCTGATGTCATCTTTCCACCTCATCTGTGGTCTGCCTCTTGATCTCTTTGCATTGTATGGACGCCACTTTTCGATGGCATTGTTCCATCGTCCAGCACATTTCCATTTCAGTTTTACTGCTTGTTCCATCGCGTCTACTGTCTTTGTTCTGGTTCTGATCCACTGGTTACGTTTTCTATCTTTAAGTGATATACCCAACATTTGTCTCTCCATCGCTCTTTGTGCCTTCCTTATCCTATCCAAATTGGCCTGTCTAAATGTCCATGTCTGTGCTCCGTAGGTGCATATTAATTGTACTACCAAAATATCCACATCTGGATATCATTAAAATGTATCTATGTATTTAATTTATAAAGTCACGCCAAATATTACAAAATAAAACATATATAAAAAGACAGTGAACAATTTAATTATATACAGAACAAAGCTAAAAATTAAAAGAACATTATTTTTATTACTTATGAAAACTTTCAAAATGTTTCGCTGAGTAAAGTCCAAATTTGTCCGGGCAAAGAATGCAACATTTTCTTGTTAGTTTACGTACTCCACATCCTTTAAAAATTACACAAACTTTTCAAAGAGCCTTCTTTTTCCAATTTCTTTTGCAAAATTGGCCATTGCATGCAACGGTTTCCCAGATGTAGTATGTTGATTTTTTTTATCATTCATTTCTTGATATCCTTTACTATATTTCAGAAGTATCACCCAGCAGCAGAGTTTTGTATATTTATACATTGTAACTTGTTTTTGATGGGCTTGGCTGTAAAATACTTTGCAGTTCAATAGCATAAGATGTAAAAGGTGCAATCCTATTTTGGTCAACCACGTGTAGGATTTCCGCAAAGAACTGTACGGTTTAACATCACTGCATCAACTGATCTCATATTTTGAATGTAGAATTTAATATGTTTTGGTTTGTTATAATAGAGAACATTTCCTCCTATAACTTATCGTTCTCTTTCGCAAAATACTACAATATGTTTACTTTTTTGAGCAGATAAACGTCTTTCTTGTCCTTGTAGGAAACTAGAAGGAGCATATCCTTGCGAACAAAACATAATTGTTGCCTATCTGATGGAACCAATGTTAATTCTCTTGGAACGCCCCTATTTGGTCGAATGGAAAGTCGCAAAGACGAACGGATTTATACCAATTATCTACAGTTACTTCACGATTACTGTTCAGTAGGTTTTGGCAAAGATATAAACTACTATTTCCTCGAAAAAATAAAGGTTCTCTGTTTTTGAAATGTGCGATATTTCATATATATCCTTGCCGTTATTATATATATATATACTATTTATAAAATATTTCATGGTGTATTCTCAAAGTTCAGACGCACTAGGACATAAGGAAAATACTTTTGCCAGATCGACTTCTTTTGCTTTTTATGTACTGTGGAACATGGAGTCGACCTTTATACAACATAAGTTGCTCATCGATTGGGTTTACTAAGTTTTGACAATTATTTCTAATAAGAGCCATAAAAACGCCTAGTCTGCTAAGCAATGCATTACTTTTGACAAGTTCTGGTGGTGAAAATCTAAGGAATTTAAGAATTGCCAAAAAGCGATTTTGGCTTATAACAGATTTATGAAAAACTGAACTACCAGTAATATATTATCTGTACTCCACTAGTCTGAAATTTTGGACACTTGGTCAATTCACTTAGAAAATATAGTGCTATAAATACATATATATTTCTTGTGTTGTCACTGGTTTATAAGTAAGACGAAAAGCTTTCATGGCGGTGTGTGGATTATCATTAAAATATTCGCATAGTTTTTTAACGATACTGTTACTTAAAAATGACTCAAAACAGTTTCATTTCATACAATCTTGAAAGTAAATAGCTGGGTGTAAGTTATAGTCAAAGCGAAATTCGGGTATATCTCTTGGAAGCTTTTCATTAAACGGATCCGTAACGGCTGTCCAGCCGCTCCTTTGTACCCCATTAATGACTTCTTCCTCATCTGTTATTGAATAATTGCTGTCTGAATCGGTCTCGAAGCAACTATTAGACATTTCATAACTCGAATCACTTTCACTCTCGAGATCCGAATCCATTTTTAATAATATAAAACACAATTACGTACCTAATAGGCAAGAAAAAAAAACATGTGCTGTCTCAGCAAACTCTAAACGTGTACTTAATTGTAAATAAATATCTTGCCGCTGCCACAGTATATTGCTTAAAAAGAATCAGTAGGTTCACTCTGCCGGCAGTCCTTTGTTCTTCATGTTCCATTTTTTTCACGCGCAAAATAAATGGGCAAAGTGTGACTTGTGGCGACCTAAAATTTAATTAGATTTCCGGAATAATGAATACTTTCCTAAACTTACCGTTTTGATAATTATCAATAGTTTCCCAAATAATTATTACTGTTTGTCCTTCAGAATGTATTATGTTGAATCCATCAGTTTTGATTAATTGAATATTAAATATTTTGTATCCATTAGAAAATCACGCTGTATTCACTGTTACTGGTGAGAAATCTCATAAAACGAAGAGCTAATGAGGAAACTAATTTCTATAAATGAAAAAATAACAATACATTCGAATTATAAATTATATTTTGAGAATTTGAATTTTACAATAGGAGTTATAATGAAAATAGGATTATAAAAAACACAAGTAGCGAACTATGAATACAAGTTAGAATAGAATATATATATATATATATATATATATATATATATATATATATATATATATATATATATATATATATATATATATATATATATATATATATATATCTATATACTTTCACAATCACAACTTATTAATAACAAAATAATAAAATGAAAAAATGTCATATAGCCTAAAGATCCCACTGTAGGGTCACTACGTTCATAACTATGATATATAAAAATAGATTTCCTTTAAGACAAATTTTGATTTATTGACTTAAAGAAGGCCTCAGGCTGAGTACAAAATTAATTATTCGTAATCTTAACATGCGATTTAAATCTTCTCAGCTACTTAATATTCTGTTTTAAAAGGTCCAAGAAAATTATGTTTTTTACATAGCTTAAGTTTTTGTTTTTAAAACTAAAGCATGAAGAATTAAAGCAAAGCTGGATTTTACTAGGCCTGTTATATAGTTTCTGCAAATAAGGTAATACTCAAATTCTTGCAGAATATAAAATAGTAGATAAGGAATAGTAAATAGTAAAACAGTAGTTAATTAGGCAATATGAGTTTTCAAACTTTAGAAGTGTGTATAGTGGGTATATAAAGAATTTTGTCATTTATGAAATTTATTTTCCTCTTTTTAAACAACTTCTATAATAATTACTTTATTATAAATTTGGAATATTCTTTGAAACTGATGGAATATTTTAAATTCCGCAACAGCGGCATTTTTCGCCAGATCTATTGCGCACGGACCTAGGAGTGGATTCAAAATTGGAACCGTGAAAATGCGAGAGTAAACCTACTGATTCTTTTTAAAACAATATACAGTGCCGTTGCTTTGGGTTGCTACCCAAGCTTGAGCTGCTTACATTATTCTGGGATTTTTTTTAAATGGCTAACCATGATATCGCCGTATAGATATCCATGTCCTACTGTATGGATATCGTGGTAAAGTTCGCCATACCTAAAAATATCCATACGTGGATACGATGAAGCGGAAGGGGTTAAATGTGACCTAATCACATATAGATATAATATTTAAATATGACTTGCCACAAGAAAACAGTTGAGCAGTCAAAATGATTTAGCTTGATTAAAATATTGTTGTTTCAGGTTGGAGGAATAGTCATAAAAAATCAAATTTTCGGTGAAGCAATAATAGAAACCGATTTTCCCGAAAAACAAGTAAACGATGGTATTTTAGGATTATCTTACCCAGATTCGTCATCTTACAAAATTCCTACAGTTTTTGAAAATATGATTAAACAAGGTGTACTGGACAAACCAGTGTTTTCTTTTTATCTAAGTCAGTAAGTATATAACAGCTTATATTTATTTAATAGTACGTAGAAGTCGCAAAAAGAAGCACAAAATTAAGGCTTATAAGATCACTAATTTTTCTTATATTCACATATGCTTCCGAACCATGGCCTCTAAAGAAAGCTGATGAAAATCATTATCATCATCAATGGTACTACAGCCCTATGAAAGAGCCTCGACCTTCCCAAGTCTATTACGCCAGGCAGTCCTATCCATTGCCAACCGTTGCCAGTTTGCTGCGCCTATCTTTCTACCATCCTCATCTACACCATCCTTCCATCTGAGTTTTGGCTTACCCCTTTTTCTACTTCCCACGGGTTGTGACATAAGGATTCTTCTAGGAGGGTTGTTCTGCTGTGATCTTGCTAGATGTCCTGCCCATCTTAGTCTTCCTATTCTTATAAGAGATACTACATCTTTACCACCAAATATTTGTTTATATCTGTGGTATACTTCGTAGTTGTATCTCCTCCTCCAAACACCATTTTCACAGATGCCACCAAATATTCCTCTCAGGATCCTTCGTTCAAATATAAGCAGAAGGTCTTCGCCTGCCTTGGAGATGGTCCATGTCTCCGATCCATATGTCAACACTGGCTGTATAAGGGTTTAGTATATGGTTATTTTTGTTTGTTGGCTTAAGTTTCTACTTCTCATATGTCTACTCAGTCCAAAATAGCATGTTTGCCATTATTATCCTTCGCTTGATTTCTTCCGTTATGGCGTTCTCTTTGGTGATCAGGGAGCCTAAGTATGTGAATTTGTCCACCACTTCAAAGGTAGAGTTATCAACTGTGAATTGGAGACCGATGTTCCTGATTCTATTGTTGGGTGTTGATGCTATCATTTTAGTTTTCTCCTCATTTACTTGCAGGCCCATAGATTTTGAGGCATTTGAGAAGGTGGTATACATTTCTTCTAGCTTGCGTGTTCTGCAGGCAACTAGGTCCACATCATCTGCATATGCCAAAATTTGGGATGATTTATTAAAAATATTTCCTCTGTAGTCTATTCGGGCATCTCTGATCGCCTTTTCCAGTGCTATGTTGAAAAGGAGACACGCCAGCGCGTCTCCCTGTCGCAGCCCAACATGCGTTTCAAACGCCTGTGATTGTTTGGCCTGTATTTCGACTTTGCAAACCACATTACACATTGTAGCCTTAACCAATCTTATCAGTTTATCGGGGATGTGGAATTCAATCATGGCTTCATACAATTTATTTCTTAGGACACTATCATAGGCAGATTTGAAGTCTACAAAAGGATGGTATGTATCGACATTGAATTCATTAGCTGATGAAAATAAAATAGAATAAATCCAAAATGTGGGTATACTTCCACATGTTTAGATATCCTGGATTTTATCAACACCAGAATAACTCAAAATAAAAGATATATTGATTAAACAAATACAACGAAGAGTATTATTTTGGACATACCGTAATTTCGGGTGACTGACTAACTTTCGAAGTTTAAATGTAGATTTCAGTTTCTGAATATATAAAACTATGTTTCTTTATTTATTTGTATTTGTTTTTGACTACTTTTTTACAAAAATTACAAAAAAAAAACACAAAGAATTTAAATTTTTTACTTTAACACCCTGTATCGTTCTTAATATCAACATTTTATTAAAGCAATTTCGCTTAAATCGTAATATTTTAAAGTGTAGAATCTACTGTTTTTTTTTGTACAATTATTTGAGGACCACCCTGTATAAAGTTGTGTCATTTAAGATAGAAAAAATGATGATAACAGCAATCTTAATCTCATTTTACTATTGCGATAATTTTTCGACTGTTCTAACAACCATTCAAATTTCGTCATTTTGTGTCATGTGGAACAATTTCACCCAATCATGTCAACATTAGACTGACAATTGCATTCAGTGCAATTTTCAATCCCTATGAGAACACGATCGAGTTTGACAACTTCATCCAAATAAATTTCAAAATGTCACGTTTCGGCAATGAGAATTATAAATATTATGCGTGGTAATAAATCTTCTATAGTAGAGAACAGCAACGAATCTAATGTTAACTTAAATTTTAATAATTGTACTTTCACTAACTGTACTTTTAATAAATAAATGTTTCGTTATGTTGAGTTATGATTTTTTTTTCGAAAAATTATCTGCCGAATATCCCTCGGACATTGATGAATGCCTCATAATTTCATGACAAATTTCTCAAGCTCGTTGCTTGGTAACAGCACTCAGCCTTCGGCTTCGTGCTGTTACCAAGGCGAACGAGCTTTCGATTGTCATGAAATTATCTCGTCTGTTATCAATGTCCTAGGGATATTACTACTGATAATCGCATTGAGGATCACTTAAAAATAGGCTATGATAAAACGGAGCTTTATCAGGAATAGTTTAAAATTTTTTTTCCCCAATTTTGGGGAAATCCGTACTAGACCATAACTTCGAACCTCCATCTACTAATGCTTCTTAATGATAAAGTTAAGTTTAATTGTATAGTTCGTAAATAGCGCCCAATTACCAATTAAAGAAATTTAAAATCCGAGAGTTCTCATTACTTTCCTATTTTTCAGAGCTGCCAATGGTGATAAAGGAGAATTGTTGCTCGGTGGATCAGATCCAAAGTATTACAAAGAAGATTTCACCTATGTACCAGTATCAAAAAAATATTTATGGCAAGTAACTGCACAACGTATTTCTGTAGGCAATCATGGCTTGTGTCAAAATGGATGTGAAGCTATTATAGATACTGGTACTTCTTTGATCTATGGACCAACCGAGGATATTGAAATTATTAACAATGTAAATATCATTAATTTATTTTTACATATAAGATATACCAAATGCTTAAACAAATGATAGATTCGACGGTTACTTGATGAAAATTCATTTCATCTAACAATAAAAAATACTGAAAACGTTTGTTTTTGGTTCTTTCACAAAATTGATAATAATTTATTACCATTACAGCTGTTTCGGCAGGATGTCTTTCTCAAGTAATCTATTTTTGGTATGTGTTTATACTTTATAGTCTAACTGAATAAGTTGAAGAGGGAGAGAACTGTTTGTCTTAAGTTCATCATCATCATCATCATCATCAATGGCGCTACAACTCTTCGTGAGTCTTTGGCGCGTTTACTATTGTCTTCCATGTTTGTCGGTCCTGTGCCAGTAATTCCCATTGTCGCACTTCCATTTTTTCTAGATCTTCTTTGACTGCATCTTTCCACCTTTTTCTAGGCCTCCCTACAGAACCTCTTCCATCTGACCTTTCCCAGAACACATTGTTTATAAGGCGTTTGTCGTTACTGCGTATTAAATGTTCTGCCCATCTGAGTCTATTGGCCTTTATATATCTGACTAGATTTCCTTTTCCGAATAGAGACTCTAGCTCGTTATTGTATCTGCGCCTCCATTCGTTTGTCACGCTGTCTCTGCAAGGGCCATATATTATTCGAAGAAGTTTACGTTCCCACACCAGCAATTTATTTACTTCTCTTTTTGTCATCGTCCATGTTTCGCTTCCATACGCGACTGCTGGTCGTATTATGGTCTTATATATCCGGATCTTTGCACCTCATGAAAGAAGTTTCGACTTCATCAGCTGTTGCATTGCAAAGAAATATCTGTTTCCTGTCATTATTCTCGTTTTAACTTCTCGCTCTAATTTGTTGTCATTTGTGATTGTTGCTCCTAGATATTTAAATTCTTTAACCACTTCGAAATTGTGATCATTTATGGTAATGTTTTGCCTTATTTGCCGTCGTTCTTGTTTTGAGATGACCATGTATTTTGTTTTGTCTTCATTTATTTTTAGACCGATATTTAATGCAGCTTCTTCAAAGCTCGAGAAAATATCCTTAATTTCTAAGATTGATTGTGCTACTGCGCCTACGTCATCGGCAAAGGCGAGTATGATTTTTGCTCCCCGAGTAGTTATGTCTGGTTTGATTTTTGGATAAATTTTTTGCATGACATATTCTAAGGCCAGGTTAAACAACAATGGGGACAACGGATCTCCCTGTCTCAGTCCAGAATTTACGCAGAAAGCATTTGATATTTTTCCCCCTATTCTAACTTGTGCACAAGAGTTACTTACACACATTTGTGTTACCGCAGCTAGTTTCTTGGGTATGCCGAGCTCGATCATTGCCTTCCATAATGTTGCACGATTAATTGAATCATAAGCCTGTTTGAAGTCTATAATAATCTGATGCACGTCGTGATTATATTCCCAAGCTGGCAACAGCTGAAATATCGAATAAGATTCAGAACTGGCAGGTATCGGAGGATATTTCTATGTCTGACCACCGCTGGCTAACCTATAATATTAGTCTGGAAAAAAGCCTTATCAAATCGCGCGATCCTAGGAGGACGAATGTAGAACTCTACAACCGACTCTTAGAAGATGCTCTGCGGAATGAAAAGGCTTCAACTCCAGGAACTAATATAGAATTGGAAAGGTATACGGTATCTATCCAAAACAAAATAAGCTATGCTTATAAAAAATCCTGTCCAATAAGGATGGTCCAGGAAAGTCGCAAAACCAACTCTTGGTGGTGCACTGAATTGGAACACCTTAGAAAGATAGCAAGAACAGCTTTTAATAGAGCGAAAAGAGTTTAAAAAAGTCTGCAGACAAAGACAAAGAGCTGCTTGGAGAACCTTCTGTGAGGAAATCGAATATTTCCCGCAGGCTTCCAGGCTACAAAAAGCGCTCTCAAAGGACCCACATCGGCATGTCGGCATACTAACGAAGGAATGCAAAACTTCCAACCTTCGCGAAAGTTCTGAAGTCCTGATGAAAACACACTTTCCCGGTTCTAGTGTCTCAACAGCACCAAACCGGATGGAAGAAACAATCATACCCTCAACAAACGACTGGCATCTCGCCAAAACAATGATTAATGAGGAAAAGGTAAAATGGGCCATATCGTGCTTCACCCCTTTCAAATCACCAGGGCCTGACGGCATATATCCAGCCCTACTACGGTGGGGACTGGATATCCTTCTGCCGCACCTCGTGGAAATATTCAGAGTCTCTTTGGTTCTGAGATATATTCCTAGGAAGTGGAGAGAGGTACGTGTGGTCTTCATACCAAAACCAGGTAGGATGGACTACATCCTACCAAAGGCTTTCCGACCAATTAGCCTAACATCCTTTCTGTTGAAAACGATGGAGAAGCTATGCGAGAGGTACATAAGGGATGAAGTTCTGGTTCATAACCCACTTCACCCAAATCAACATGCATATACTTCGGGAAGATCTACCGATTCTGCACTGCATCATGTAGTGGGAAGAATTGAAAGATCGCTGGATAATAAAGAATCCACCCTAGGTATATTCATAGACATTGAGGGAGCGTTTGATAAAACCACGTTCCCAACTATCACCCAACAGCTCAACGTTAGGAATGTTCCCCTGGCCATAAGCAAATGGATATTTAGTATGCTCTCTAGTAGAGCAATAAGCATAAATGTAGAAGACGTTTCTATTAGAGGCATGGTTACGAGGGGATGTCCACAGGGAGGGGTGCTATCACCACTACTATGGAACATAGTTCTAGACACCCTGGTTGACCAACTCAACAGCAACGGTTTCTACACAATAGCCTATGCAGACGATATTGCTGTCCTGCAAAGCGTTAAGTTTGAGAACACACTATGTGAGAGATCACAAGTTGCTCTTCGACTAATAGAAACATGGTGCAAGGAACACTCACTATCTATAAATCCTAAAAAAACAGAGATGGTCCTCTTTACCAGGAAAAGAAGAATCACGGGCTTAATACCCCCAAGGATTCTAAACTACAGTCTAAATTTTTCTGACGAGATGAAGTACCTTGGTATTACCCTTGACAGGAAGTTAACATGGAACTCACACCTAGATGGTAGAGCTAAAAGAGCATATATTGCCTATGAACAGTGTCGACGAACGGTTGGATGCACCTGCGGCCTCACGCCCAGGGTGATCGCCTGGGTCTACACCGCTGTCATTAGGCTAATGCTAGCTTACGGAGCTATTGCTTGGGTACCAAAAGTGCTACAGGCAAGAGCGATTAACAAACTAAACCATATTCAGCGGATGGCTTGCACACATATAACAGGTGCCATGAAAACAACACCAACTGCTGCAATGGAGTTGATCATTGGCATCACGCCTCTAGATATATAATATTATATTATATATATATATATATATATATATATATATATATATATATATATATATATATATGTCAAAGAGGTGGCTCTAGTGACAATGATGCGACTGCGCTCAGCTGGTGCAAACCTTGATGTAGGAATGGGACAATTGAGAACTCGTTTCTGGCGGGAGAGCTGGATGCGTTACCAGTACTACAGGCAGGCTGCGACTCAATTGAACCAAAGTTCGTCTTTAACAAACCCTACAAAATTGAAAAAAGACAGTATATGGAGACAAACGTGGCAAATGCCTACTGCATATACACCGATGGCTCCAAAATGAAAGAAGGCTCAGGATGCGGGATATACTCCAGATCACTGAACCTAAGAATAAAGTGGGGTATGGGCAAAAATGCCAGTGTAGTTCAGACAGAACTGACTGGTATTTCCATAGTCGCAAAAGAGATAACCCAAAAAGGTATAGCAGGGAAAACTATAATGATCTGCACAGATAGCAGACAAGCGCTACTAACCTTGAATAGACCACGTGTCACATCAGGTTTAGTAATGAAGTGTCACGAGTCACTAACTCAAGCTTCGGATGGTAATACCATCATCCTAAAGTGGGTTAAAGGACACAATAGGAATAAAGGCAACCGCATTGCTGACCAATTATCTAGGAAGGCGGCAGGCCTAAGACTTTTAGGACCTGGGGATCTTTTTGGTTGGTCAACTACAATAATCGCGGAAATTGTCAAATGTCACTGCCATACGCAAACCGTAAAAAGATGGAAAGAAGGAAAGGATGTAAACTTGCCAGGGTAACACTAAGTAACCTTGAAGAATCAACATCAAAGAAGTACTTGGGAATGACCAGAAAAATCTACGTTTGGCAGTTCAAGCAAACACTTCAAGCAAACACCTTCACACACTGGGGCTAGTAGACACACCTCTATGTAGGAAGTGTGAACGAGAAGACGAAACTGTAGAGCATGTCCTATGTGAATGCCCAGAGTTATCGTTAATACGAGAGTACACGTTCGGCGAGTCCTGGCCCACACCTGCCCACATAAGTGAGATGCCTCTTGGTGACTTGTCTACCTTCTTAGAAATGGCAGGATGGACAAAGAGCTAAGGGTGACAGCTCCCTGGGAGGATGCACAATGGGTCAATTGTGGCCTAAGTGCTGTGAAACTTAACTTGCACTCCCTACTCTACAGATACAGATATATTCCCATTACTTTTCAAGCATTTGTCTTTTTGTAAATATTTGATCAATAGTCGATCTGCCAGGCCTGAAACCTCACTGGTAGTCACCAACTATTTCTTCGGCATATGGTACTAATCTTTTTAATAATATCGAAGCCAATATTTTATATGTAGTGTTGATTAGTGAGATTCCTCTGTAATTCATGCATGATTCCTTTTTTCCTTTCTTGTGTATTGGTACAATAATACTACCACACCATTCTTTCGGCATTATTTCTCGTTGCCAGGACATTTCTATTAATTGATGGATTTTACTTATGAGTTTATGAACGCCAGTTTGTCTTAAGTTGGTTATTTAGAATTATATCTTTATTTTTTATTTTGTTAATTTTAATAGACTATAATAAAGATAGTCCAAAGCCTTTATTTAGGCAATTCGTAGGAATATC